TGTAACCTATCAAATACGTTACATCGTTTTTTGTAAATAGTTTCTTTTAATTTAGTAGCCTAGTTAAGTTAAAAAAAAAATTAAATTGAATTGAATTAAAACAACCGAATTTGAAATCGAATATATCCCCTTCCTGAACATCCCTATTCCCACCCTATATACATCCCACCATGCGTTACTCTTGCCAGCCACAGCCACAGTTTACCACCACAGCTACCGTCAGGATATTTGTGGTAGACGATCGACACGGAGGCTGACATAAAAGAGGCTGTCAACGGTGGATCGCTCTCTATTATTGAACAAAAGTTGGGGTGTACGGTGCGCCGCAAGAGGTGAAAATCAATGCCATCGGTGCAAGTTCCGGGAACACTGTCCGGTGTGGAAGATAAAAAGGCCATTGCCAAGAGTGCCGAGAAAACTGTCCGGTGTGCCACAAGAAGAGGCGAATTGTATCCGGTGTGCTGCAAGCGCATCCAGTGGGTCTCCTTGGTCTTGACCACGACGCCAAGGAGGACACGTCGGGCTAGTCCACCGATGCCTACCAGCCGTGCGATGCTTCGTCAACGACATACTGTGCCAGGTGATGTTTAATCCTTTCCCTTATCCTAATCTCCTTACCTTCCCCCACCGCCACGAAGCATGAATTTAAAAACAAAAAAATGAATATACTTAATTAAACGATTAAACTAAGCTACTCCGTTTAGCCCTTTATTTAAACAAGCCATTCCTTATTTCCTCCATCTTTCGATCTTCACCTTGGCTAAGTTTTGGGAAGCATTTCCGCCCAATTCCTTTCTGGAGCAAGCAATCGACCCTGAATCCCAGGACAAAGCCTGGAGAGGGACAAAAAGTAGTCCCCAGATAAAAGAACTCTAACAAAGTGGAGTCCGAGGGGGGCGAAACATCTAAATCTCAAGTTTAGATGCTCAACAAATCTCACACTAGCGAATCAATCTTCGAAAAATCTTCTTTCATTTGTCGCATCTACTTGCATCGCTCATCATCTTTTTGCAGGAAATCTTCAGAATGGTCATCAATCTTCTTTCTATCTACTCAGCGTGCGCGCAGCTAGCCACAGCAAAACACAATCTTTTTTGCATCGTAGATAGAGTCGTCCTCCTCGGTGGAGTCCCAGTTTTTCCAAGTGTAGGAGAGGAAGGCTACTAGATGACCTGATTGAAGATTCAAGGACAGTACTGCCACAAACGAAGTGACAGACGACTAACTGGCGAAGAAATCAATTAAAATAATGTGGTTCGCTGTAATAGAATTTTCTTAGAAGCTTGTGCCATCAGCCACTAGATGGACTAGTATTTTTGTTTTGATTTGAACATAGTTGATTTTGTGTGCAATATGATCTTTGACAGTGTGCAAAGAGTGTATCATTTTGTCATTTTTTTATGCATTTCAGTTTAGAGTAGAGTGAAAGAGATAGAACCAAAACATTCTAGTACATTTAGTGTTGCCATGTGGTACAATCCAGTAGTAGTGGTGTTGCCATGTGGTACACTGAAAAATTGCAATAGCAGGTGCGTCACCAAAGTTTTCGAGCCGCTCCGTCTGTCACTTCGTTTGTGGTACTGCTAAATGATGGCCAGCCTACAATCATCCCATCCCCGGAACAAAAAGAATCGGCGGTTGATCTGACACTTGCGTCGACAGGAATCGCCAAAAAAGCTTCGTGGAAAATCTAGGGGTATCCCACTCTAAACTTTGTATTTTTCGCTTTGTAAATATAAAGTTCTTATTGATATCTAAGATACCAGGAAATACTTAAAAATTCTTAAGAAATATTTAGTGTCAGATTGTTACCACCGTTGCTAGACAAATTTAATTTGTTTGTTTACCCGTAATAACAATTCAGCTGTGGAAAAAACTGTGCTTGGAATATTTACATTCTGAAAACAATATGTTTTCTTTTCAATAGTACTACTTATACCTTGAGCCATATGTACTTTGATATTTTTACATGAATTGCGCTTATTTCTTCACCTCTATAGCGTATGGTAAAAACAAGTATTTTCAACCAAGGCTCCTATTTAGGAAACAAATTGCCGCCGTGGCTTATTTGCATTATGCCTGATATCACTGATCGTATCATCGGAATCTTTGAATCGTTGCTCATTCTGTTTTAATTCATTCGTTTCCGTTCCCGATTGGGAAATTACTTCATTGTGTTATAGATGTATTTTTCGTCCGTTAGGATCATGACCGTGTAACTTAGGACAATTAGCTTAGGATTGAATCTGAATCATAAGTTGTGCAAGCTATCCGCACCATACTTATGGAATTCGGAGTGCCACATCTCATGCACACTCAGTACACTTTACCAATAAAATAACTAAAGTTTTAACTGCTGAGCACTCAGCGGTCATTTCAGTCAATAACTTGTCACACAACTGCAAGAATGTGGAGAAATTCTATGGAGCATAATTAAATAAATGGTGATAATTTGATATTATTTTATTTATTAAAATTCATCATAATTTATGAAAGGTAAGGAACCCACCGACAGACAGACGCGAACCTGTAAAACATACACATGGGTATAGGTCAGACTTACAAATTCAAATCCGGCAAAGTCATTCCCAACAGGAAAATGTTTCTAAACAAATCTAGCACCTACACGGAGAAAAAATACTACCCAAAATTTGAGTTCTTTTTACTTAATATTGACTTCAGCTTCTCACTTGCACTCGTTATTGTTGTCAAAAAAGGAACGAGAGATTCAACCCAACGATATAGTTCAGCCCAATAAGTTACTTTTGAGTAAATTGCATATTCTCAAATTTACGTGAATTAAACTTAATTTTAGGTAGAATGTACTTAAGAGTAGGTAATTTTTTTTGCTGGTGTTAAATGGAAACTACTATATGCGATATACTCAAATTTGGGTTATTGGGCTGAACCCCTGAATTGAGGGAAAAGTACTTAATTTTGGGTAGTTTTTCATCTCCGTGTAGACCGAATTCAATTCCTTCACAAATGAGTCGTCTGTGACAACTTTTGGTTCCCCTCATTCGAGATAATTTCACTAAACGTCTGTTCATTTCTTAACCAGTCCGTTTAAAGTATCGCATTATAAATACTGTTTTTTTTCCTCCATTACTTCGCTCTTGGTGGTGGATGGACTTCTTTGTAAAGTATAAATGATTTGGATTCATCAACCATTGCTTCATCTTCTCCTCCTTTAGCATATATCGGAAGAAATCCTTGAAAAGCATGCCTGAACATAATCAGCAAGAAACATAAGTAGTGCCAAATCCATGTAACCAAAATGTCCAAAACCCTTTCTTGTTGGTGTCACAGGTTGCATCCTTCTGACTAACAGCCAGGACAATACGATCCAGGGCAACGTATGAAGACGTGTCCACATTGAATTCTGAGGGTTATTTCTTTGTTCTTCATGGGGACATAGAAATGAGCTTCCTCCTGCAGCAACTCGCCACTGGCGGTGTCCAAAAAACCTTGGAGCTGCAATAAAATAACTTTCTGCATGATGCAGAAAGAACATGAAATCAAACGCAGTATACCCAATAGCTTAGAACTTACGTACACATCAAGGAACTGCTTCAAGCACTACCAACACATTTCTGTGAGAAACAACAACAAACAACTGCACTAGCAACCGGTCACTATGTGAACATAAGGCAAGACTTAAAATACTTAAAAATACTTAAGAATACTTATGAGCGATTGGAAAATATTTAATGTTTCTTAGAACTAAAGTTTAGAGTGGGATGTCCAAGAGGAATTTGGGAGTATCCACCTAAGAATACGAATTCCGCGCCAGGTGAAGACAAGATTTCATATTCTATCCTAAAAAATGGACATAGGAATACAAATCAGAATATTCGAAATGCTAAATAGGGGTTTCGTTACCGAAAACATCCCAGAGAGATGGAGAACTACAATAATAAAACCGATTCCAAAACGAGGATATGACCCATCACTACCGAATTCAAAAAGGCCCCGCTCTGATGGATGTTAGCATTAAGCCGAGGGATATGACCACAAACGAAGTGACAGACGGAGCGGCTCGAAAACTTTGGTGACTAACCTGCTATTTCAATTTTTCAGTATACCACATGGCAACACCACTACTACTGGATTGTACCACATGGCAACACTACTACTGGATTGTACTAGCATTTTCACCAAATGTATTAGAATGTTTTGGTTCTATCTCTTTCACTCTACTCAAAACTGAAATGCATAAAAAATGACAAAATGATACACTACTCTTTGCACACTGTCAAGAATCATTGTACACAAAATCAACTTTGTTCAAATCAAAACAAAAAAACTAACCCATCTGGTGATGATGGCACAAGCTTCCAAGAAAATTCTATTACAGTGAACCACATTATTTTAATGGATTTCTTCGCCAGTGAGTCGTCTGTCACTTCGTTTGTGGATATGACTGTCATATCGCTTAAGTTTGCTGCGTACCAAACATCTGCAACGTTGTCAGCGGTACCATGATATCTTTTGTTGTTTTGATGTTGAGTACGCCCTAATAAAAATTGTATGGTTAATTTGCTTAACGACGTGTTCTGGGTATCATCCAAACCATTTGTGGAATAGTTCAATGATTTGGGTTATCGTTCGTTTATGGTTATTTTTTATTAGGGCGTGTATTCAGCTATATGTCAAACCCCTGCCAAAAACTCAGTCAGATTGTGGCGGCCATTGGCGTTGACGGCGACTCTGTAGCTCTTTACTCCAGTGGTAAAATCCATAAGCAAACGTCAGACTGTGCGTGAAACATGGCGGACTTCGTACTATCCTTTCACTCCACTGAAAATTCCCATAAGAAACTGTCAATCTTTGCTAAAAGAGACGATTTTTCGGCGGTGCCGTCAACGCCAATAAGCGCTCGTAAAATGCTGGATAGTTTTCAGTTACCGACCGTTGAGTGACAAAACATCGAAAATCGATTCAAGATCGCCCATTACTGAATCCGACATTCACGCTGTGCTAATGTTTGAAGTATGACGCGAATGTTGTCCGCATCCTGAAAATCAAGTTTTCGCACTCAAATTTGTGTATTTTCCTAAAAGAAATCGTATTTACTTCATCTTTTCAACTTTTTGAAGTGCAAGAGTTGGTATTAAATAATCTGTACATTTGTTTTGAAAATGGGCACTCTATTCGAACACTTGAAAAACCTTTTTGAATACGAATTGTACTCGAATGCCAAAACACTGGTAAGTGCTCTGTGAAATAATGTTTGCTAAATAAAATTAATGTAAATAAACCTTTTCTCGATGTTTTCAGTCGAACTTAATATTGGCCGTTTTTGAAAATAATCGAGCTATATTGACCCCGCAGCAGCATTTCTATACGCTGATATATTACGCTGAATCTCTTTTCCATGAGCACCAGTACAGGGAAGCGGAGGGGATTTTCCGGCAGTCACTACAAGCTAAACGAATGCTACCAAAGATTAAATCTCCCGGTAGTAAGACAACCGAAAACCCACCGGATATCTTTTCGGAAGTTGAAATCAAGTACAAGACTGCTAGGTGTCTAATTGAGATAAAGCGCTTCCGAGATGCAATCGTTGTACTGCAGTCCCTTTCCATAAAGCAGCGGACACCGAAGGTCAATATGCTATTGAGTCGATTGTGTCATAACCACGGACACGAGAGGAGTGCTATTGGTACGTATAAGGAGGTTTTGAAAGATTGTCCCCTTTCGTTTGAGGCTATCGAAGGGCTGCTTTCGCTTGGTACTAACGGAATCGAAGTAAATACCTTAGTACTCAATGCGACCCTTGCTCCTCAGTGCAACGATTGGTTAAGCAACTGGATCAAAGCCCATGCTCACATGCAGGCTAGAAAATATTCAGAAGCGATTCAGACCCTTCGTTCAATTGAATCGAATACTTCTTTGTCCAACTATCATCAGCTGTTGGTTTTGATTGGAGAATGCTATTACCACAACGGTGAGTACGAGAATGCTTACACGTATCTGAAAAGAGCCCATAGCTTATATCCATATATGAAAAACGGAATTCAAATACTGGCAATTCTGATGGCAAAGAAAAAGAAGATTAACGAACTAGAGAAGATGATTGCTCCTACTTCTACCTTTCCGATGGAATATTCATCTGAAATGTGGTTCGTGATGGCTCAGTATCTCTACTCGACGGCAAAGTATGACAAGGCGGTTTATTTTGTCCAAAAAGCTTGTTTTCTGAATCCTAAGAACGCGGAAGCATTAATTTTGAAGGCAGAGATTTTGCTGCAGCTGAAAAAATACCAGGAAGCGATAGCCCATTTACGATTCGCCCAGCAATTTGCACCCTATCGCTATGAGGTGCACAAGGTCCTGGTGGATATCTATCTTCTGATGAACCGTCTCCGTGAAGCGCAAGCCCAAGCACTGAAGGCGCTGAAAACCATAGGGGAAACATCCAGGCTTTTAGTGGTAAGTACTTTTTAGAAAGTGTAGCTTGCTGTAAAGAGGGTGAAAATCGTAAAATACTTAACTGGCATAAGCCAACACATATTGGAAATTACTTAACAGAATTTTAAAATTGCTCTGCCAATCTCACTGTGCAAAATTTTATTATCATCATTTGGTAATTCTTATGTTTGCCACGGAAGCTAACTTTTGATTGTCAATAGAGAGGTACCAATGGCATTCAGATTATATGTTCTACCCGAAAGGATACTCAATGGGAATGGGAATTGAACCCGCAGCCTTGAGCTCGACTTGCTTCATTACCGTTCGCAGCTATCGGGTTAGGCTCCTAATGTTTATTCGGATAATTTTAAAATGTGTATGAACTAACAAACTATTTTACAGTTATATAACATAATTTACTGAATTTCATTATTGTACTTTGGTATTGCAGTTATTGGGGCGCACTTACTTAAAGGATGATAGCACGAAAGCAAAAGCTAAAACACTGCTTCTTAAAGCACTTGAAATGAACGAAAATTATTTGCCAGCAGTGTACCTATTGGCCGATATGTACCGACAAGAAAATGACGCCGCCAGTTGCATAAAGTTATTGAAAAAACATGCCTCGTTAACACAGAACTGCAAGTTGCACGCTATGCTGGGCGATCTTCTGAGCAACGACAAGGATCATTCTGGAGCATTGGAGCACTATACCATCGCTTTGAAGTAAGAAAAGAAAATCACCACCAGTACTAACCGCATGGCAGTAGTTTCCTATGTGCTAGAAGTAAAATTTGATTTCTTAACAAAAAACAGAATCTCCATACTTTAAAATAAGGTGAATTTGTAAACCCTAGGAAACTAGCGCCATGATGAACTGAGTAGCAGTCTGTTAATCGCGTTGCTTTTGGTTTTTAGTCTCGATCCAACTAATCGTTGTGCGATGGCTGGACTGCTGGCCATGGGACAAAGTGCTAGCGGAACTGGTGGCGTTGGAAGCTCGTCTTACTTGGAATCATCGATGGCGGATGAAGGTAGCGACGTTCAGGACAATCCACTGGAAATGATAGAAATTCCTCAAAGCGCCCAGAACGATTTGGAGTCAGAAAGCGATATCATGTGGTCAGATGTGGAGATAGAGATTAATCAGTGAACTGATTTTTTTTTTTAGCATTACGATAGGCCTTGTTTAGTTTTCTTTTTTTTTTTCAATATAGGTATTTTATCAGCAAATCTTATTTTTATGGTCGCTTGTTTCAAGGAAAATTAAATTTCATCACCAACTCTTTCGGCAGATATCAGTCAAGCATTTGACTAACAGAGCTGATAGTAAGATGTAATCCTCCTTGAAGCAGGTTTACAAATAGTTATACGAAAACCTACTATTTGATATGTTCTGTTGACACCACGGAAAAGAAAATTAAAAACTTTCAAGTGAAATAACTATTTCACAAAGAAAATTTAATTTAATTTAAAGATCTTTTCTCTGTGGTAAAGTGATGACATTTAGGTGCCCGTTAGTTATCAAATGTTTATTATTTTACTATATTTCTGTTAAACAGGTTCTACAGAAATTTATCGGCATAGTGCAAGACTTCAAATCCCACCTCAACCATGATTAAAATAATGATCATCCACTCTAGGCGGACATGGTGATCGTCGTTCAAGTTCGAACTTATTAAATCTGCCAATTCCACGCAATGGTTTAACTTTTCGTTCATAACCCTGGTCCGGCGGTTTATGCTAAAGTATGAACAGGTTTGTTGATACAGGGTCTCAAGTTGCTCGCGGTCCCAGTAGAAATCCGGAACATCCAAAAGATCCGAGCTTAAGTTGATTAGATGACGCAATGCGAAAAGTTCACCTGTTTTTCGCAACATCTCCGGGCGGGAAATTTTGATGCTGGTTCCTTTTTTCAAATCGTCCGTTACGTAAGCCATCGATTCTATGTATCGTTCAAGAGATGCCTCCCAGATTCCTAGCTTTACCGAAAGTGACATGGCATTCGAGAAAGTATATTTCTCCAAATCGGTTTCATCATTAGTGGAAATGTAAAAACTATTATTCTTTAATCGGGCAGGACCTTCGATTGTATTGTACAACATCGCTTCACTTTCTCCAAGAACTGTGGACTCGTCGTAAGGATCCTGAAAATGTTCATTTTAGGTTTAGTCGTCTTTGAAATTCAATATGATCTTACCGCTTCGAATTGTTTCAAAAATCGTAAAATATTGTTGTTTTCCAAGTCGGTACAATTCCACAGCACCACTGTGCCTTCACGGAAGAAGTACAAATCACGGGATTCGTCGCCCACTTTGTACTTTGCCGTAACGTGAAGCACATCCGAATCGGTGTCGTTGTCTTCGCTGGACAGAAATTGCTTTGGTTCATAGAGATTTTGGTTTTTCAAAGCGCCAACCAATCGTTCCAAATCATACTCTTCTGCGGTAGCAAATGCCGTAACGGTCAGGTATCCCTTAGCCAATTTACTGATTTCGTCCTCTCGGCGCCTGCGGGGTCGTTTTTTCAACTGGATGTTCTCGTGGAGATTGATAACTGAAGATGACGAAATTTGTTGTAATCGCTTTCCCATAATACTATTTGGAAGCGGATGCAGTAATGTTTTGCTAGAGACATTCTGGGAGCTGCTTGCGTAACGCACATTCGTTAATCCACTGTTAATCGATAAGATCGATATCCTGCCGGTGATAAGGATCGGTTGATTGATCACCGTACGCGCCGTCCTTGTTATCCAACTCATGTTCCTTCTGCATTGACTACTGATTTGCATGCATTGTTTACATTCAGCGCTGGCGAGCCGTCAGAAACAAAAATCAAAAGATGCACGGACAATGAGATCGACTCAAAATTGAGTCGAATTCAACTCCATTTTGAATCGTACACTCAAAAAAATCCAGATGTCTGATCGATGTTTTAAAACACTTAGCCATACCACATAAAATTGGGATGATATCCCGAATTGGTGGTTAGGCGCATCTTATGGTTATTGTTTATGCGGGTTGGTTTTTTTCAAATGCACAATCACATTTATTTTAAGTGTGTTTCACCTTGGTTCAAAGTGTCACACATCACTGTAACTGGAAAGTACCCATTAATGGGTGAAAAAGTGCCCAAAAGTGCCCAGTAAAGTAGATAAACTCATTTAATGGGTAAAACGTCTTTACCCATTAATGGGTAAAGACCTTGTACGTCAAATCATGGGGTACTTTTTTACCCATTTTTAAATAATAATTGGCTTTATAAAATGGGTACAAAGTACCCAATTTTGAAATCCTTAAACCAGGATTTTTCTTTTAGAATTTGTATGATTTATGGATCATTGAAAGAGCCACAATGAATAGTTGATAATACAAAACGTTATTTATATTTATATCTTTATTTCTTTATATTCCATCCAGCGGTCTTTCCATCGTTCGTGCAAGAAATGGTGCTCCCAAAGCTCTCCTGGGATCTCCTTGCTGATTCGGCTAGTTCTGTCCCTGCAAGTATCAGATTGCTTTTTAGATGTGGCCAGAAAGAAATAAAATAAGAAATACCTACTTTTCAAACGAGCAATTTCCATTCGACATCGTTAAGACACTTTTCGACTGAAGCGAGGACTGGAAGATGTTATCTAAGTTGCTTTTCACCCATTAATGAGTAAAAAAGTACTCATTATTCTCGCCCGAAGTGCTCTGAGAAATGGGTAAAAGAGTACCCATTATTTGAAATTGAACTTAACCCATTATTCGACAGCCTCATATAGTCATAAAAATGGGTCCTTTTTTACCCATTAATGGGTACATGGCAGTTACAGTGCATGTCGATTCGTTACACTGATAAATTGAACTATTCCCATTTTGCTTGAAATTTAATCAATTTGACATTGAACTCAGTTTAATCATATCGATTGATTAAAAATTAATCATCTCTTTCTAAAAAATAAGCATCTGATATTAATCCCAGTTTAATCATGGTTGATTAGATTGTAGATTATCTATTTTTGAATATTTTTTAACCATTTTTGATTATATTTAAAAAAAAATTGCATGAATTTTAATCTTTTTTTTATTATATATCAGTATTGAAAACGAATAAAATTCAATACTGGAAAGATTATTTCAATTTTAATCATGCATGACTACTGTCGAAGTAATCATGGCTCGGACTCAATAAGAGCAACCGTAACGGTACGCTGCTAAACTCATTTTAGCAGCTCTCATCATAGCGCAGCTACCGTATCGGGGGTTGCCATACGAGTAACTAAAATAGCAGTCGGCTTCTCGGTGAGAAGCGCGCTACCAAATTTAGCAGCGCGGGAGAAAGGTTGCTATTCGTTGCTATCGTCAAAATGCTCACTACCGGTACGGACAAAGGCAAGTAAATTGATAACCGCGATAGCAGCGACCGGTGTGGAGAAGAGTGACTAAACTAAAATGAGAGCGCTGTGCGCTGTTAAAATAGTCGCGCAAATGACAACGACCGTTACGGTTGCTCTAAGGTGAAGCGGGAAACTGCATACTTTTTAAGCTTTTTTGATTTAATTTATCTTTGAGTGTACATAATTTTTTTTTTTTTCCTTTGGTTTGTTTTTTTCCGTCGATCTTGTTTTCCGTGCTGAGCACCAATGCTACCGACGTGCCATGAAGGCAGCTCCCACACCTGGACCCTACCTATCGACCCATCAACTCATGAACCGGGGACCAACGGCTTTACTTCCCGAAGGAAGGCGTGATCAGAGATGTTATGCCTCAGAACATCCCGGCGGCGCCGACTGGGATTGAACCCAGACCTGCTGGGGTGAGAGGTAATCACGCTTACCACTACACCACCGGCGCCGTTAGTGTACATAATACACGCAGAAAAATTTACCGTCGAAACAAACATATTTTACACGGTGTTTCGCGAAAACCCATTAATGGGTATAAAAACACCCATTTCCGCGAAAAGTGCCCCTCCTCATTTAATGGGTAAACTATGGTTTACTCATTAATGGGTAAATGGAGTATCTGTCAATAAATGGGTGTTTTTTTACCCATCTTCTTAAATTGTGCTTTTCGTAAAATGGGTAAAAAAATACCCATTTCTTCAAATGGATGATGCTGGTGATGGGTTATTTGCCCTCGTTGATATAAAAAAATTTCTAATATTTTCATTGAAAATAAATGCAGGTGTAGCGAAAAAAAATATTACACGAGATATTATAATATCATATTGGATAACACTGCATAGACTTATCCGTAAGCAGTGCTGATAAAAATCTTTTCTTCTACACTCAATTTAGCTGAAAATGAAGAAAACCTTAACAGATAGACCAACTACCTGCATGAATTTGAATTTTGATATAAACAAATTCCCTTGATCTAGGCAACCTCTGAGTATCAAAAATAACATTTGTTTTTCTTCATTCGTTGCTGGATTCTCATTATCGCCTCTGTTGTTGTAAATATTGATATTCGTCTTCATCTTGTCGGGATGATATTGAGGATCAAATGCAAAATGATTATTTTCATTTTAAACAAATATAGCGCTGAAGAATGTGGTTTTTAGACATAAGTCGACGGCAAATTATTGCCTCAAGCTGAACTGATGATAATATCGATGATATAGGCAGTGTGGTCGACAATATTCAAAATAATCATTTTGCCCAAAATGTCGTTGATTATTTTGCTTTTGAGGATCACTTCTGATTTTGACAATTTTGGATTTGATAATCGAGCACTGGTGAATATCAACAAACGCGTATTCGTTGATGTATAATAAACGTAACTACGAAGATGTTCAAAACAAACGCAATTCATCGACACTGGGTTGAAGCGATACTCCTTGCATGTGATGGTAAATGATAAAAACAGACACTGTCCGTAAGTATATCCAATGTTTCGGAATCTAACCTTTTCCGGAGATCGTCCATTTTTGCTTAAAAAAAAAGCGGACGGAAACTGTTTGCATTTCCAATCCCGCATAAGCGCGAACCATAAATTGACCTTACCTAAAATGGTTAAAATTGTTTATAATCCCTGCTAAACTTCAACTGAAATGGTTATGGAACTCTACATGAACGTTTAATGATAAATTTATAACCTTAAGTATTATAGTTTTTTGGAAGTGGACCTTACAAATAATGGGTTGTTAAGAACCATTACCATTCAAAATTCTTGTTTTCTCCATACATTTTCGGAAAGAAAACTATACTAAAACCTTTTAACTTATGGTTTGAGAACATTAATGGTAATGGTTATGGTAACCAGTAAGGTCCATGAATGGTTTTGTAACATCGATCAACTTTATGTGGAATATATCGCGAATTGGTTGCCTGTAAATTACTGATTACCAATTCACGATATATTTCACGTAAAGTTGAGTGATAATACAAAACCACAGACAAACAGACATAACACATTGAATATTTCTCACTGTAAAACATTGTCGCAAAAACATTACCGCCATCTGTTGAGAACACTGTGGTGGGTAGTACGCTGAACAGATGGCGGTAGTGTGTAAACGTCAAACGCAAGGGAATTGACTATGCGCGCCACAGGTGGCGATACTACCAACTATGATACTTTTAAATTTACCGTTAAATACTTGTTCGATGAACAACTTGCGAGTGTTATGTCTGTTTGTCTGTGACAAAACCATTAATGGACCTTACTGACTATCATAACCATAACCATTAATGTTCTCAAACCATAAGTAAAAACGTTCTAATATAGTTCTCTTTCCGAAAATGTATGGAGAAAACAAGAATTTGGAATGGTAATGGTTCTTAACAACCCATTATTTGTAAGGTCCGCTTCCAAAAAACCATAACACATAAGGTTAAAACTTTATCACACAAACGTTCATGTAAAGTTCCATAACCATTTCAGTTGAAGTTTAGCAGGGATTATAAACAATTTATAACCATTATCGGTAAGGTCATGTGATGGTTCGCGTTTATGCAACAAAAACATTGAAAGCAATTTATTTTGAATTTTTCTTACATTTCCATTGATTTTGATACCGTTATCGTCATAAACTCACCGAGCATATAGCAATCATCAAATGGGTTGTGGTCAAGGGGGGGAGATGGCTGTCAAATACGAACAATCGTCGCCTACCTCGCATAACTGGCTCCAAACGTAAACAAGCCATAAGAAACCTACAGCGTTTGTTTACGTTTGGAACCAGTTTCATACAAGATGATCAGTAGGCTGATTTGACAGCACGTCCCTCCCCCCCCAGGTTGTGGTTGCGTTGAAGGTTGCGTTTTATTTAGTGGTACACTCAAAAATATTACAAAACGAATATAGATTAAATTTTATACATTTTATGGTTTTTCAAAATTTATACATTGGTTCGATTAAAATTTTCGTCAAAATTATACTAAATCCGAATAACGGAGTGGAATTCGATCAGTGTTTACTAAAATGACAGGAAAAATAACATTTGGATTCTCTTCGTAGCTTCGCGCTTGTGAAGAGCTTTGTTCCGGCGGATTTCAACTGCGCCTGTGATCTGCTGGGCAGCTAGACTGCGTGAACTCGTGAGCACGAGTTCATCTTAATGAACATCGAAATGGTAAGTATTTTTTAAATAATATTCATAAAAATAAAATAATTAAAAAACCTTCCTGAGAAAATTTTTATTTCTATTTGAAAACAATAATATTTACCATAAATAAAATAAAGAAACGAAAAAGACATTCTCTCGATTAAACCGTATCTATACATTGTACGCGAGGGGCAATTCACTGCTCTCGAGAATGAATCGAAAATA